GGGTTGTGGCTGCTGGGGTGCTCGAGGAAGAGGGGATGCCAGCAGGGCTGTTGGAGACGATTAATGTTGATAAGAAGGTGCTAGTGGATAGGGTCAGGCAAGCGCTTTACGCCTCGAAGATTTGCAGCTATGCACAGGGCATGAATCTGCTGCGAGCCAAGAGTGTGGAGAAGGGTTGGAACCTTAACCTTGCAGAGCTTGCCAGGATTTGGAAGGCGGATGCATTATCCGTATGCGAGGTTTCTTGATAGGATCAAGAGGCGATGACAGAAATCCTGAGCTTGCCAATTTGATTGTTGACAGAGAGTTTGCAAGGGAGATGGTGCAGCGGCAGAATGCGTGGAGGTGGGTTGTGGCACGGGCGGTGGAGGCTGGCATTAGCACACCAGGAATGACTGCTAGCCTTTCGTACTTTGATACCTACAGATCAAGTCGATTGCCTGCAAACCTGATCCAAGCACAGAGGGATCTGTTTGGTGCACACACCTATGAGCGCATTGACCGTCAAGGTTCATTCCACACAGAATGGAACAAGCTGGCGAGGAGAAGCAATGGTGCAGCCATTTGAGGAATTGGCTGGTATTAGCAGTGCTGTTTGCTGCTCTGGGTGATTTCTCTTTGTGGGTTCTCTTTCATTTTACTATTGTTGTCTTTATGCTTCTAGATCCAAGTTGTATACTTTGAATAATGCTGTACTGTATGGTTGGCAAGTGAAGAACATTGTGAAGCTTCAGTTTTACTGTGATCTAGGTACACCCAGTTTGATACTCTTAACTTTGGTATGCAATCGCTATGATGCTTCTCAAATCCCAATGTTGTGTCTTTAAAGAGTTATCTGAAATGTGTTGAAATTGCTACTAAGAGTAGTGAGTTTTGCATCATTTATCTGAAATGTGTTGAAATTGCTACTAAGAGTAGTGAGTTTTGCATCATAACCTCTCAAATCAATGGTGTCTTTGAAGAATGGTGTGCCATGTGTAGAAATAATAACTACTACAGTTGTGAGGTCGTAGTGCCCCAGTATTGAAGGTAACTCATGAGTCATATATGTCCCTTAAAAAAAGAATCTTATGTTGATAAACCTAGATGTCTGGGGATCTCTACCTATAAGCCAATGATCCTAGCCTGTTTCTTTAAGCGGCTTTTAGTGAAAAAGATATAATTCGATGCTCGTAGTTTACTGTGCCAGCTATGCTAATCAGAAATAACTTTCTGAAATATGCATAATAGTACCCACTCTTTGCCAGAAAATAAAGATGCTGCCATTTAATATTTTCATACAACTAAGCTGGTACTTGAAGTGGTCGTGTAATTTCTAAGACATCTAATTTGTGAAGTTATAAATTATAATGTCTATTCCTTAAGTTTGCAGACCGAACCTTTATTTTATTCATTTTGGTTGGTTAGTATGGATAATCAAATTAGTTTTATTTTGTGTTCTGTATAATTGGCTATAAATATATAATATTCTTATATGCATGATTATTTACTTGTTTATTTGTGGCACACTTGTGTCAAGTACTCAAGTCAGATACATGTGCTGTTAGTGAGTTTGACATGTTTGCTAGGGCATGATCAGTGATAAAGAGCTATCTAGATCTAGATATTCTCAATTGAGTTCATGTCATGTTTGACCCATGAAGTTATTGTCAGTTGCAGGTTTTTTTAATGACTTAAACTACTATATGACTGCTGCAGCTAAATGGTCAACTCTAAATGCATTGTAGTAAAATCATATCTTCTTTGCTGTAATTTGTACTTTCTTTGTTCCAAATTATAAGTCGCTTTGACTTTTTTGGTACATAGATTTTTATATGTATCTAGACATACATTATATCTAGACGTGTAGCAAAATGGATGTACCAAAAAAGTCAAAGCGACTTATAATTTGGAATGGAGGGAGTAGTTGATTATGATTCTATTTCTATGCTAACAATGATTTGTTGATTTTATTGGGCTATTATACCAATCAAGTTTTAATAATTGTGAGACATATGTGGTAGGGATGCTGTGCTGTTAATAATATATGGAAATGAATTGCTAGCTCATTGCATTTTTCAAGAGCAAAGCACTTACGATATGGGGATGATGGGTGTGGTGCAACCATCTAGTGGTAGAATTTCTGGGACCATATCATTGTCTGTAAGAATTGGTACTGGCATTTATACTATTTCTTTACATATAACTGTGCAACTTTGTCAAATCGATTGAGATGCGGATGTTTGTGTTAGCATGGTTTGCTCAATGAAGGCTGTGGCAGTTACTAGTAATTTTGCTTTGTGTTAAATTCTGAAAATTAACCGTCAACCTATCATGTAAAACCTGCTTGAAGCCTTGAACCATTTCTTATGTAGATTAGTCTGTCATGGTTTTGTCACTTTAGTATTCCTCAGAATTTTCTGAGGCCCTACCATCTGTTAACTTCATGGGGCTAACTCATTTGCCATTTAATGTAGCAGAATATTTGGTATTTTTCATTTGTTATTAATAACTTAGTGTTTATCTAAATTTTCATGTGAAGGCTGTTCTTGAATAGAATAAGAGCTGATTATTATGTTTGCTTATATTCAGATGAATTTCCACAGCTTGGTCAATTTTGAGGATCAAACTGTCCATTCTGTAAAGTGAGGTTACTCTGCTGGGCCAACGGGCCACCATTCCAGACAGGTCCAAGTTGGGCCAATGGGCCTTTAAACTCTACATTTATGAATTATGATTCAAGTTACTCTGTTTGTTGAGCTGTGGTTCAGTCATATAAATGTCATTAGATGCATTATGCAAGGAACACTGTCAGTTCATTCAGCCATAGAACTTTAATTCTGATCACAATTGAGAACCTTGTGATGATCAGCAAATGTTGTGACCAAATTCTTTTTAGCATTTAACCTTCCTGAGTGTTATCTACTGTTTCCTACAACTAATGTAGACCAACCAAGTACATTATCTATAATTTCCATATCTAACAAGAGTTTCTGATATTGGTTTTAATTTGTGGTGGTCAACTAATGTACGCCAACCAAGTGATAGTGATTCATTCTTCCTTGATCCTATATCTAGTTTTGTTGTTCATTAATGAAATAACAACAAATGTATGTACTTGACAACTTGCATTTCAGAGTGAACATGTGAGTGTCAACTGTCTTGCACATACAATTTCATTGATCGAACACTGTCTTGCCATAAAGTTTCATTGATCCTCCCTCCCTTCCTCTATGTGTGAAAAGATCCCTATATCTCTGCCTATGGAGTTTGTTGCTCGATAACGAATATAATCTTGATCATATTCTGGAGCTGGATTTGATGGTTCCTGTTTATCTTCCAGTTTAGCAGTTGAAAAGCTGCCATGCTATGATTATAATTGAATAACTGCATAAGTAGGTCTATGTTTTCATTGGGAATAATGTGCCCAGGTCACATCATTTTGTGTTGAATTTCCATGGAAGGTTAATATTTGGTTATTAGTCTCTAGTAGCTTTTTTTTCGTGATGTTTAACTGTTGCTTCAATAGTTCTGCATTCTTTATAGGTATTATCACCTTTCTGCTCTCATCTATAGTTGTACTGCTACTGAAAAGATCTCCCATGCGCAGCAAACTTATACTATGCCTAATCAAATATGATGTTTTATGAAATTCCATTGAGGTATTACATCTGCTCTGACTATTTTAGATCTGATTTTTTTTTTTCTCGAACACTTGGGAGAGTTGCCTATCATATATATTAAAGAAGGATAAAAGGGTAAAGAATCCGGTTACACCAACATCCACATACCCAAAGGATCACAATATTAGATACACGCCTTTTATTCGCGCCTTTTTATTTTGGGTCTGATAAAATGTTAAAGCTGTATATGTGCTGTCTTTTTCTAAAATTTGGTTGCATTTCAGGTGATAATTGAATAATTGTTAATTGATACTTTCTAGCAAATTCTGCTGCCCAAATCACGTATCGCTTCCCTCGGTAAAGTAAGTTTAATGTTTGATATAGTTAATTTACAAATAGCTTGAAATAAAAATAATGAACTTAAATGTTAATATGTGTTTTTCTATCTTATGGCCTCTAATGATTGGTTTGTGATACATAGAAACCTGATTATACCCTGATCTATTTGAACTGAAACACAAAGCACAGATACAGTTCTGAGTATAGCCATGAGAGTTTAATGCAGTTTATTTATATAAGCACTGCTATAAGAAAACATTTGTTGTCAACTACTGTGATTCAATCATCGAGGTGTGATAACTTTCTTTATTTTGTATGACACAGCAAATGTTGGGTGAAGTAAAAAATTGTCATCTATTGGTTGGCCTAAGATAGATATGCAAGATAGTGGTGATGGTTACATCAGACATAACAAGTCACTCTAGGTTGCCTGCATGTTAACAGCTAACAGATGAATTCTAATCTACTCCCTCCATTCCAAATTATAAGTCATTCTAACTTTCTTGAAGAGTCAAAGCATCTCAAGTTTAACCAAAATTATAGAGAGAATTACAAAAATTTATAAAATCAAATAGGTATATTATGAAAATATAATTAATAAAGAATCTAATGATGCTTATTTCGTATCATAAATATTATTATTTGTTATATAAATATAAATTTGATCAAACTTGAGATGCTTTGACTTTCAAAGAAAGTTAAAATGACTTATAATTTGGGATGAAGGGAGTACTAGTTATTGGTGATTTGCATTGTTTATGAACCAAAAATTATGCTTGCACAATATTGGCGTGATTCACTTCTGGATCGCAATTAGTGGAGAGGCTAGTTCCCTGCCCACTTCTGGGTATTTTGCCATGTTGCCATTCCTATGCTGTAGGCTGAGACCTAGGGTCATCTGCTTGTACCGGTGCGTGTAGTGTTGGTTTCGAGGGCTGAGAAAAGTGATAGGCATATGTGCGGTAGTAATAGCAATGCATAATATTAGGTTTTCCCCATTTCGGACCAGATTTAATGCTCTCTTGATGCATAAGCTTCATTTAAAGGCTTTTGCAATTTTTTTTATTTAGGTAAGGATTTATCACTATGAATAGTAATATGTGTGATACTGTGGTTCTTACTGGAGCATTTAGTAGTGAAGCTGAGGGCTCCAAGACATGATTTGATGCTGGTTTGGAGCTTTGCTCTTCATTTGCCCCTAAAACTTTGCTTTTGAAACATTCCGATCTGGTATAAGAACTATTTGATACTCTGCTTTTGAAACATTCCGATCTGGTATAAGAACTATTTGAAACTCTGCTTTTACAATTTATAAGCACGGTCTTGTTATCCTTTTGCCAAAAGGAGTGCATAAATTCGTTTTATTACTAATAAAAAATATAAATACCGCTTAATCAATTTGGAAACTATTGTCTTAGAAATATGTAATATCGTTTGTTGATTTGGTCCCTAGAGCTCTGTTGTATCAGGTTGAGATCTGAGGAGATCATCAATTTTTCAGCATAGTGTTTTCTTTCTTTTTTTGTTTCTTACACTTACTCTCCATCAAGAGTGATGGCTTTTTATTGACCGTGCTTTCTCTCTTTAATCAATGATGTGCGATTCTCCTGCATGGTAGATAATTTGC